AGCAGATGTGCAAGTTGCATGACCAAATATATATTTCACACATATTTGCACCTACTTACGTCTGTGACGTAATGCTTTTAGTTCTCTAATCTCACAGTTTGTCCTTTACACATCTTTGACTGTTTAGGATTGTAGTTGTGGCATTCATACTAGACGCTGAACATATTTTGCCTGGATGAAGGTGCGTCTGGCATGCCAATAAGGTGGACAGAATGAATAGCTGGTTGTGAGGCGTTCAACAGAATGAGCTGCAGCTTCTCGTAGCACTCAGAACTTATTCACTTGTCAGCTATCCTTTTCTATGCCTGTTACACCACCTCACCCACCCTATCACTCCTGAATCCAACACCATGTATCCCTGCCATCGACCCCTCCTCCATCTATCACACTGATGCATTGGCAGTCTGCAGAAGGTTACCACGCAAGGCCTTTTAACACCTGGTTTTAGGGATAGTTTTGCCCACCCCACCTGCTCACCTCCTGCAGGGGCCTAGCACTTTACACCGATTCCGTTAAGACCCCGTCTGTCATCCTTACTGATTGAACGGAGATCTCTGGCAGTGTTACTCTGGCCAGGTCTCATATCTCTCGCCTGAGGCTTGTTTTCATGTGGCTTGTAAAGATGCCACTCTTATCTCCTATCAATCATGGGCCTCTTTTCCCAGCTATGCCCTCGACTGCTGGTGACAACATAGATTCAGAGTGATGTTGTTGCAGATTGTCAAATTACACGCAACATGGCAAGGGAAGCTACAAGGCATGATTGTGGTCTCGATCACAACCCCATAGAAGGTTTTGCTCTTTCATTTTTGATACAAATTGGTATTTTGTTTAGTCTTAAAACAAGAGTTTGTTGATAGAGTCACTCTATTGTTGGAATGTTGTTGTTGGATTTTGGGATTGTTACCTGTGAGTTGCAACCTTTCTGTGCTGTGGTGCAGTGCATAAGAATCCAGCATGTGACTACTGTCTCTGGCTCGTTGTTCTTTGAAGCTATCAGCCGACAAACATTCTAGCTCGTGGCCGGGCCCTCAACTCTTGAGGCTCGTGATGACACACATGTTCAGCAGACAAAGTGCCTGGACCACCCGGGCTTTAGGTGTCCTGACCTTGGAGGTTGGCTGTGAAAAATAACAACACAAGAGGAGAAAGAATGCCTCCTATGCGGCACAAGGGGTCAAGCCATTGCCCCTGACAGGGTGAAGTTCAACATGTCTCATGAGCCCTTATGGGTTATGCAAAATCTTTGTTTTTCAAAGGTAAAGAGACAAATGTAATACGCTCCAGAAGTGTGTCAGGTCTCACTTTTTGTGTGTGTGGAGAGGTATGTAAGTGTATCTGTTGTAGATGCTAAGAGGGACCATGTTTGACCCATGACGAGTTGTGGGAGTTGAATCACTGGGGGTGTAGAACACAAATTCCCTTTAATCCACTGATCTGAAGCCTGCAGTGAAAAACGTATCATTCTGTCCAATCCCATATCAAAGAAAAACAGAATAGCAGCAATGCCATCTCTCTGTTCGTGACATTCTAGTGAAATGGTGATAGATTTACAGCAACTTCTTTCGTTTTTCAGCTATTTGAGGTATCTGTTAAACAGATTGTTGCATTGATTTCTGGGAAGACAGATGGTGGTGTGCATGTTTCAAGATAACTGAAGGAATGAAGAATTGTTCAGCTCGGTAGATCAAATTCAGTATAGTGATGTCCTTAGGCTACATTTTTATTGCGCGTAGGTGTATACGATCTCACAGACATATTTTTGAGTAGCTTTGTTTTCTTTCTGGCCATAGTTGAAAGTAACTAAAATAGCATGAAATGCTTGAAAATGAGACAAAAAATAAAAAAAATAAAAAATTCCTGCCAAAACAATGAGACAAACCTTGATAAATCTGTCTGCCTTGTTTATAAGTCTTTAAATAGTAAGGTAATTATTGCAGACAACATAATGAACTTGTTTTTCTTTTGCCAAAAGAGACAAATAATCCTCGGCACACCCAGAATAAAAACAACCACTTTGCTACCCATTTTACAGCCACATGTTTGACCAAATCATAATGTTTTTATGCTTGCCTTTAAATTGAAATAATTATATGGCCCTTCATCTGTTTCATATTTCAAGTTTGACTGTGGAATGTGTGTGCTGTTGCCATTGTGTCCAATCTCCTAAAGGGGTATGTGAACTCAAAGTTTATTGCCTTTATCATGTATTCTTTCATTTTCTACTTAAAGGCATAGTTTGGGTGGTATTGTATGAGGTACTTAACCATAGTCAGTGGGTTACCTACAGTAGACGTCGGTCTGCAAACCCCTAGTTTGGAGAAGCACGGAAACAAAGCAGTGCACTGCTGTGGACGTGGACAGCTACAAAACATATTTTAGTCACCTAAAAAAAGGCCCACATAAAAAAGTCAAAATCAGTTTAAGTGTGCCCTATAATTTAAATAGTTTACCAATATACCTTGCCATCAGACACCCCTTTCTGACAGGATACTGAAGCGTTTATATTGCTCACAGGAGTTTCCAGTCCACTGTTCCCTCAATCTTCAGCAAACCAATGTGTTAAAACACCAAAGTCACATAATAACACAAACAAACTAACCGATTAAGGCAGCAGTAGATCAGCAAATCCAGTTTTTTGCAAGATAAAATTACAGTTTTTGTCAAAAGAGTCTGGTGGCTTTGAAGAAAACATATATCAATATAAACGCTTCACTTTCCCGTCAGAAAGTGCTGTCTGACAGCAAAGTAAAACAATATTATTTATAAATATAGTGTACACTTAAACTGATATTGATTTTTTTAGGTGGCTGAACATATTGTTACTGCCCCTGTCCATAGCAGTGCGTTGCTTAGCTTCCTAGTGGTACTCCTGTCTGCTTCTCCAAACTGCGGGTGTGGCAGCCCCGCTACAATGAATTTAGATAAATACCTCATAAAACCACACTGCAAACACCCAAATTATCCCTTTAACTCAACCTCATGCCACCCCACTGTCCTTTCAGCCCCAGTAGTCTCATGAGCATGAACATGATCAGCCTCTGGCCTTTCAAGCGATCATTATTTTACTGTGATTGACACGTTGGTTTGCTGTGCATTTCATTGATGAGAATTTGAGAGCCCTGGGGCTCATGCTCCTTCAGTGATCAGTAGTACGTCACCTTCCAGCCATTTCAGGGAGACAAGGCTGGATTACCAATTGGTTAAAGCAGGCAACTGCCCAGAGGCCCCAGACCCCCAGGGGGCCCTCAGCAATGATAGTAATAATCCATCATACCATCGTAAGAGAAATATAAGGCTGCAAACAACAATTATTTACACTATTAAAAACTCTGAATATTATTTTCTTCAATAATTGATTGATTGATTGTTTAGTTTATAAAATGCCCATCATTATTCTCTGAGGCTGAAGTTAACATATTCAAGTTGCTTTTGTTGTCTGACCGACTGTCAAAAACTGAAAGACATTTGAGAAGCTGGAACTAGTGATTTTAAAAATATTTTTGCTTTGAAAAAATTACTGCAATGGTGAGTCAATTATCATTACTTACTCTTACTTTGTAGAGACAGTTCTTTGTAATTTCATGACATAACAATTTAAATTACAGGTTTCAACTGTTTAAATAAAGCAAAAAAAATATAATCTTAGGTGTAGTACAATGTTTATTGACTTTCTCATTTTGGCTTCTTCTCCTGTAGTGGATAATAGAATACTACTAGTTTTTTTTTTCAATCAATCTTTTGTGAAAAAGGAACAAAATCAACTTGTGACTGTTTTCTAGTATATTAACACATAAATATCAAATCTAGGTCGGCCATGTTACAGGGTATGGACTAGTAGCTGGTGTAGTGTCAGTCCACCTCCTGGACAGCGCTGATATGCCCTTGAGCAAGGTACTAAACCCCTAACTGCTTGGAGCACCAACTATGTGGCAGCCCTGTTACTGTGATATCCCACTAATGCATGTCTATAGGTCCTGTGTACATGTTTGTGCATGTGTGTGTATTTTGGACCTATGTGCATATAATCAAAAAACTAACCACAGAGATTGTGTACAGAGTGCTAAATTAAATTTAAAATGTAAAGATGTCATGGAGAAACCTATTTCAAATTTCTGTCGTTGTTACTTAGAACATGAATTTTGAGAACATTCAGCGTACTTGGTGCCACAGTAAAGTGTCCACCACCTGTGCTTTGAGGGTTGACCGTGTGGGAACCTTACGGTACTATTCATTCCCGTGACAGAAAGTGTTTGAGGTGTGTACTCCAATGACCTAGGGGGTCACATACCACGCAAAGGGGCTATGCAGTTATGCTGACCATGTAGCTGTTTAAATCAAAACACTGGCAATCAGAGGCGGATGGTGGGAGGGAGAAGAAGAGAGACAATAGGGGGAAGGAGACCTCGTTCTTGAGGCATGGTCAGAAGGGAGAGGGATAGATAGTGGGTGTGTGCAAAGACTGGAAATATGTTGAAGAGACGCGTGTGTTATCTTTTCTCCTCGCCACTGGCCATCCAGTACCTCCCCTCGCGGTGTGTCGTCAGCAGTTTATCTCAGGCCCTGGCAGAAGCTGCGGGGGAAATGGGAGGAAATCTGATCCATATGGTGGCACTATAAAGCTCACCGCTGATTTGCAGGCTTCATCAAAACCTAGTCAAGGCTTCATCACTAGTGGCATCCTCCTCTCACACCTGGTCACTGCGCTCTGAACTTCTTACTCTCTCCTCAGCAGCACAAATTATCTGTCTGACCCCAGGGGTACCTCAGCAACGGTCGTCAAAGCTTATTCTTCTTAAAGAGGTAAGTTCAGCTCCAGGTTGAAAAGTGATTCATTTAGAACAAGTTATGGACAATTAGATTAGAAGATGAGGAAGAGCTGGTCCTATTGACAGTGATTTTTCATACTTTGCATATGGATATTTGAAGGTATATGAAGCCAGATTGTGAGTGAGAAATGACGCATTGCATGCAACTGTGTTTGTTATGTTGCCTCAGATATGAAGATACTGGGCCAGGTTGCTTTCTTGCTTTTGCTTGGAGGAATCTGGTGTCAGAACAACCGTAATGCTAAAGCTAGTGGCAGGTCCACCAAGAAGGCTGGTGGGAACCAAGGAGGGGATGTTGGCCAGTCTCCTCTTGCAGTCGATATGACTCCGGGAAGCACAGCGAGCACTAGAGGGACTGGAGGCACAGCTGAAGCAGGACGGGAAGCCGCTGCAGGAGCTCGAGGAGCCGGGCAACAGACAGATGATATGAGGCTGCATTTCCTCAAGAACACCCAAGTTACATGTAATGATGGAACAGCCGCTGGGTGAGATGTCCTGGATCTTGTTTTCTCTCACTTGTGTTACTGAATCTCGCAGAAGATTGTGTGATTTTTGTCATTTGCTGGGTAATCCTGTGATACATACAATGAGTGTCCATGCATGGCTGCTTTATCCTCGCCATCTCCTCATTCCTGTTTATTTGTGGTTGTACAGGTTTTACCTAAAGGAGTTCAGAGGAAGCCGCCGATGGCTGTTATTTCTGGAAGGTGAGTATTTAAAAACCCAACTGGTTAATTTGGTCCCCAAAGGTCAGCTTGTTTTGGCATGATACATCCATTGGAATTTTGATGAGGATGTCATCTTGTCCCATCATCTTCTGTTTTTCTCCTTTTTTGGTTTCTGCCTGTCACTTTGATAGACTTAAGATGGGGGAAATTTATGTGGATTGTCGTCCAGCTTGACTTATGTGTGTATTCTAAGAGCACAGAGGAGGTGTGCATCACATTTCCTAAACGCAAACTTTTTACCTGACTGAAGTGACTTTCTCTAACTGGTTTTAGGACTTCTGAGTGCATTTTTGTAAGCAGGATAGCCAAATAAATTAGTTTTGCTCTCCCCCTATAGATGTCTTAATATGTCATATGTGTGTTGTTGTATTTGAAGGAAAAAACACTTTGCACCAGCTGAAAGTCAATCAACAAATTAGATTCTGAGAGTTTGCAAATTAAAAGAATCATTTGTTGTTTTTGTCCAGCTCTGAGTGATTGTGTAGTCGTGTTAGCAGACCACGCTACAGGTGCATTCCTCACAGGGCTGTATGATGGGCTAACAAGGGTCTCCCTTGCTGTGCTTGACGTGAATGTCTTATATTAGTCTCAATTATTTTTAGGTGGCTGGTGCTGCCACAGCAGAGAGACCTGTGATTCCAGGTACCAAAATATACCCCGACTAATGAGCTCATCAGGGTGGCCCCGGACAAAAAGAGGTGGGTGAGCTGACCATGTTTTTAAATGCATGTCATACATGTCCCCATCGTGTTACTTGTTTTAGGTAATAGGCAAAAGGACATCTGTCTCATCTCTGATTGCTGGATTTACAGGAACTGGAATATTGTCTTCTCAAGCGGAGGAAAACCCACATTGGCATAATGCAAACATTGTGTAAGTCCTTGTTTATCCTCACTGTGTGTGTTATTGTGGCTATTGGAGGGGTCACATTTAGATAGCACCTTTTGTAAATGTTTGTGAGACATGGACCTCTCCCCATTAATGCTCAGCAAGATAAAGTTAAATACACAGGACATTTACAAGACATTTAAATATGATCTTATGGCCAGGGTTGGGAGGTTTAGTTTAAAATGTTTTATTTGATACAACATATTACCTAATTAAGAAAATCAGTAACCTAATCAAGGTATCACAAATATTAAAGTAAGACTTTCCCTTACTTTTGGATTACCTGAACACCAAATATTCAAATAAAGACAAGAGAAAAGATAAATAAATAAGATTACTTTTACAAATTCTTCAACTGAACAATATAACTTTAGAAAATAAAAAGGAAACCAAAATGTTTAGCATGAAAAATGTCTCCTCAGAGTATTTTTAAAGAAAAGCTTTTCATTAAGCAAATTCAGGCAGTAACAATATAATCCGTTACTCCCCAAGTCTGCTTATGGTTTACATATTAAAACAGCAGGAAATTGCAGCAAGTTTTGTTTGTGCCTCTAGTTGTTTAATGGCATTAATTGTTTGTTTTGGCCATTTGGAACAAAGTGTAAACAAAAAATTGACATACACCAACATTACAAATGAGTTATGGTTAACGTGTTACATATTTACACATCCAGCTGACACAGAGCAACATCACCATTCATTTGGAGTTGTGTTCCTGGCCACTTTGTGAATGTAAGCCCAATATTCACTTTTCTTTTTGGTCTTCAGAGGGCTGTCTAGCTGATAAATGCATTTAGTTGCCAACTTTGTCTGTCTGCCAAAAAAACAATGAGATCAAAACATTTTAATATTCTCCACAGAATTAAGGGGAACTGCAGAGTCACTGTGAGTTGTCCTAGTTCCCGTTATGCATGCATGGTTACTTGTTAATGCGAAAATACTGATTAGTGCCGCTTTAAAGCAAGACTATCTTTTAAAGAAATTACACAACGTTCCTCAGACAAAACTGAAGGGTTTTGCTGCTTCAGCCTTACTTGGTCCAGTATGACCAGTACCTTATAGTGGCTCAGGTCAACGAGTTTCTGATACAGTAAATGACAGAAGAGTTGATTTTCACGGAGGAAAGAGGGAATTGTCTTGATGGCTTCAAGCTCTAGTCTATCAGTGTGATTGTGTCCTTTTCTTTAGATTCATTCCATACTGTTCCAGTGATGTGTGGAGTGGCACTGGGCCCGCCCCAACCCCTCCTCCAAGGCCACGACAAGGCAGAGAAAAAGAGAGAGATAGAACTACAAATGCAAGTACGTTTCTTCAGATCCTTCCAAGAGTTTCTGTAAAAACAATCTATATCTCCCTTGGTTATAAGAACACATAATGAATTTAACTTTACTTATCTAACTTAAGTTCTGTGCCTCCAATCATTTGTTATCAGCTGAGTACACCTTTATGGGATCCCTGATCATCCGCGAGGTCATCAAAGACCTCATCCCCAAAGGAATCAAGCTGGCCAAGGTTGTCATGCTGTCTGGCACAAGGTGAGTTTGTTTTATCGCTCACGCTCTGATGCTGACCACAGCTCTTTGAGAAGCCTGCATCCTTTGTACCATCTGGTTCATCTCCATGCCTAACATTAAAAAAGAGAAGCCCTATTTTGGGTGCATCCTCTTGTCAACAATAAAGATGTTTACAGTCAACTGTGAACAATGACATAATGTCTATTAGAGGGCCTTGCCCTGTAATGGTGAACATTCCTCCCAGGTTAGCAAGATGGTTGTTGGGACTCCCCCTCTGGTCATAAAACAGGATCCACTGACTGAATGCAAAGCTGCTAAATTTTGACGTCCCCGCTATTAGCTGGCATGTGCTGTCATTTTGATACCCCTTACGAAAATGGCAATCTCAAAGCAAAACTATTTATTGAATTCTTGGCTCCCCTGCAGCGCTGGCGGAACAGGTGTTTTGCTGAATATTGAGAGAGTGGCCAGTCAGCTGGAGCAGCTCGGCGCAGAGGCTCAGGTCCGAGGCCTTGTGGACTCTGGGTGGTTTCTAGAGAGTAAACAGCAGAGATCACCTAACTGTCCCGAAACCATTTCCTGCTCACCTGAAGATGCTATCAAGATAGGACTCAGGTAAAGTCATGCATTCTTCAATCAGACTGTATAGATTACCATAAAAAAACACTTTCATAGGTTTGAAATTATCTCTCTTTTGCTATACAGTGCTTTCTTATTTGGTTTTATTATGTAATGTTGTACTGAACAATAGATGTATGTGACGTGACAGCGTGTGTTGTTTTCTCAGATTGTGGAATGGGGTTGTGCCTGATAGATGTCAGCAGCTCTATAAGAGAGGAGAGGAGTGGCAGTGTTTCTTTGGCCACAAACTGTACTCTACCTTGACCTGTGAGTGCTGCCCGGTGCAAATGTATCATGATATTAGATAAGCATGCTATATATTGGACTTAAGCTATTCAAAAGTAATGTGCCCCGAAATATGAGAGGTGACAGTTTAATTTACTCAGAAGCTGAAAAGTGAATAGTGTTATCTAATGTTGGTAATTCTCATACTTTTACTTCAGCGGAGGAAGTCCATGGTCTTTTACAAAGTTTCTGTTGGATTGAAAACCCACAAGAAAAAAAAAAAATCAGCTGTTTTTTCCGTTACAATGTGGCGGTGTGGTAAAATTGATACATTATTATATTTACACATCCAGCAGATACAGAGCAACATTAACATTCATTTTGAGTCGTGTCTCTATTCACTCTCCTTTTAGCTCTGTTTTGTTCTCCACCAACTACTGAGGGAAATATCTGACTCTTTAGTTACTAAATGCTGTCTGCCGTTGAGCAGGTAGTGTACAACGTGTTTATCAGTGCTTTTGTGCTAAAAACAGCTATGTCTGGAAATGATGCTGATGACAGCCGTGAGATTGAATCAAAACAGTGCAGTTGCGGGCAGTAAAACCAAAACAATGAGCTGAAACTAGCTATAAAGCTCATTAGAGCTAAGTCGCGTAACAGATGACATAGTCATCTGGCCCACTGTTAATATATAATATATTGATTGGAGCATCTTTAATATTACACTCTTTGTATTCCCTGTAGCCCCTCTGTTTGTTGTGCAGTGGCTATTTGATGAGGAACAGTTGAGAGTGGAGAACATCTACATGGGAGGACAGAGTCTGTCCGAGGAACAGTGGCAGTACATACAGAACCTGGGCAGGGAGCTCAAGAACTCACTGACAGATGTCACGTAAGTTCCCATAAACCTGCATGGAAGAGTAAGATATACCTAATGATAACACTAAATGCACCAGCTGATTCAGGTACTAAAGAGAGATTGCTGTATTCTTCTGTGTGTCTTTCAGGGCTGTGTTTGCTCCGTCCTGCCTCTCCCACACACTGATTACTAAAAGGTAAGAGTGGATTTGACTCCTGTGGTGGTAATGCACTTTTGGGCCTTCCAACCCTCATTTTATTCTCGCCTCTACCAGTAGTCATCTCTAACTAGTGAGCTCATGCTGCTGTTTTTATTCACTCGTTTGTCATTCCGCATTCTTCATGTCACCAAATGCCATTTCACACTTTCCCTAACCCCTCGGTACCCCTTGAACACACTCATCATTTTGCTACACAGATGGACACTGATGGCTCAGTGCAGCCGTAGCTAGGTTTACAGACTCAGGCTAAGTTAAATGTATTTATTGAGGGTGCTGATTCTTTATGGGAGGAGCTAAAGGTCCAAGGTCATTGTAGTTCATTTTGCAGTGGCAGTCCTGTGATGTTAAACTTGCTGCACCGAGATAATGATCCAAAAGTGGGCAAAGCAAATTGTGAACCTTGGGTTGATTATACCATGAGATCGTTGAAGACATTTTCCCGCTCCTCAGTTAACCCAACAATCTTATCCATTCCTCTGCTTACTGTCAACCTTTCCCTTCCTCTGTCTTTGCCTCTGTTTATTTCCAATCCATATCTCCCCTGTCTGCTTGTTCTTCTAGTAACTGGATGAATTTCCAAGTTAGAGGCACCTCTCTGCCACGGGCCCTGCACTGCTGGGACAGGAGTCTGGAGGCAACCCGCAACAACAGAACCCCTGCCAAAGGTTGTCCTTTCCACCTGGTGGACACCTGCCAGTGGCCTCAGTGCAACCCCACCTGCCCAGCCTTGGTGGACCAGGCCACCCAGCAGGAGCTCACCCTGCTCCAGATGCTGGTAGCCATGGGCCTTGACCTCCAGAAGCTGGGCCTGGATCCCCAGGGAGATGCAGATTCTCTGGCCAGCATGGTCAGTAATGGTGGTTAAGTGTAAAAGTGCATTGGAGCTTAAGAGATAGCCATGCAAAGGCTTACAAGAGGGGGAAAAATGTGTGGAAATTTTAATGTAACCATAGAAATAGTACAGAAATCTGGTTACTATGTCTTGTGCTGCTCAGCATTCCATTATGCTTCATATGTCTGTTAAATTGGTGACTTGACTGGTGGGTATGTCACTGTGTCTGAGTGGTTTGGTTGTCCCTCTACCGGACACCAGAGGAAGGAGCTTTTGGTCTAAACCAAAGGTGGTTGAATAGTTTTAAGTTTTAGCAGATGGCCGGACATACTGTACCTCACTTTCATTCTGATTACTCTACATGAAAATTAAACTTCAGAGCATGGTCGTAGGGTTGAATATTTATAAGAATATGAAAATGTCAGAGGTACAAACATGTTGCTTGGACAGGACTCATGAAAAAGAAACATTTGCACACTATATAGTGTAGTTGTTAGCTTTAAATAAACATTTATTTATGCTCTTTGAACCTAACAATCATACTTCTCGTACGTGCCAAATTCCGAGTATTCTGATTCTGAATGTTATTTTACATAAAATAATAAAATACAACTCTGTAATCACGCTAACTCAATATGATTTTGCACACACAGTTCCAAAGACACAGATTGTGATTTTTGTGACTTTTTTAGTCTGTAGCTCTTGATGCTATGCTAACTTATATTACATAATATATATATATATACAGATTTTATGTGCATGTAAGACTAAAGTGTGATTAGTTATTGACATTTTTCTGTGTTTGTATTGAAGTCTGCAATAAAAAATAAAAGAAATCAACCCAAGTGATGAATAACCATGGAATTGGTTATCCACCACTCAGCTGTCAGGATAATCTGACATACATGGACATAATACAGACTATGTATTGCAATCCTTTATTGTTGTAGACATTTAAAACTCATGCTTCTTTCACAGTGTCATGCTAGTTTTGCAAGGCTTTTACAGACGTCACTGTAACTGTATGTTTTATTTTCATCTAGGTACTGTAATAACTGTGTCAACCGACAAGGGTTTGACAATAATTGTACCTGCTGGCAATAAGTATCCTGACTGAGTTGTTGCTCATGTTGAAACAGGGAATAAAGATATGAAGTGGCTTTGACAACATGAACTCTGTTACTGTGGTTCATCAGTTCTGTGAATTAATTATCTTGACATCCATAATGTATATGTGAGAAGGTTCAGTGACAAGATGCATTAGCCTGTTCTTTGGCTCTGCCCTCTGGCTCAGTTTTCTTCCACTGAAATACCAGTGCAGAATTTCTAACAGGGCACTGGTATCTACAGGGACCTGCAAACTCAACCAATCTTAAGAGCCTTTACATCTCAGTACTTCCTCTATATGTATGCTAAGTAATTCAGTTTGGACTACAGTAAACAGCAACTGTTTGGTATAAATAAATTAACATAAACAAATTAAAACACTGGTTGAGGGTTTGATTGTCCTGAAGAGAAAATTATTTTTCTTATCTTCAGTTAATGGACCTAATGAAAGAAACAATTATCATATTGGCATTTCATTCTAGACCTCTAATTCTTACATTTTATAATAGTATATTAATCTGTGTGTGGTAAAATATGCACATTTTGTTCAAAGGGTATGTACACTAAATGCCATCACTCAGCTGAAATCCCCTGGGGGAGCATCATGCCTCCAGAGCCTGCCGTTAAATCTGAGACTGACAGAGACGACAGGAGAGTGGGGGTGTGTGACACACAACAGATGACACACACAATGACTTGAACCGATGATGTTGCTGGGCCTCTCCTATTTTATGACCCACCTTGATGGTGCAGATACTGTGTTATTAATATATGATATATGATATGATAGCATAATCTAGGATTATGTCCTATTATATCATTTTGACACTCAACTTGTCCACTTTCCTTTGCTCCCAAACAATTAACTAATTAATTAACAATTACCTACATATATACCGTATATACTGACTGCTGAATATGTTGTGCATAAACCAAGACATTTAGGCTCTGTTGTTTATTATGTTATCAAAAACAATATTGCATGTACTGGCAGTTAGTAACTCATTACTAGTAATAATATTACTTTTCCCAGTAACTAGTAGTGTAACTAATTACTAATTAATTTCAGTAATAATATTACAGTCACACAGATCGTTGGATTCATTTTTGTAATCGTGGAGGAAACTAGTTTGGTAGATGAAAATACTTATATTCAGCAGCTGAACATTTTTTATTTTTACTTTAACAAACAAAACTGGATTTTTGGGGAGAAAGTACACAATTACCAAGAAAAGTAATAACTAGTAGTGTAACTAATTACTGTTGACAGGGAGTAATAAGTAAAGTAATAAGATTACTTTTAAAGAGAGAAAGAAGTACTGAGTAATAAATCTTTTTTTTTTTAAGTATCAACAAATCTTCGCACTCATGAGACGTTTGTTGCTCTGGATAAAACTGAAACTATGCATGCATGCAGTGATTCATCCTCATCACTGGATGGCGCTGGTTTATATTGTATACATATTTACTAAAGATCCTGAGTGTAGTGACAAAATAAGATTTTTATAATTTAGCCTAGTACAGCCATTTTACATTTGAAGGCAGGCTATGAATATGAAAATATAAGCATTTCAGATTCAATCAAAGTATCCAGGTCGAATAAAATCCTTGCTGAACCAAATAATTCACGTTACCGAAAGGTTGTTAATGTTTACAATTCATTCACAATCTGTGTCGTTTAATGTTGGTACAGCGGAGGTGTAGTAGGTACTAATAAACACATTAACCACAGTAATTTCCTGGAGGTGTGGGTCATCTTGACTTGAAAAAGTCTCCGATCTTTACCCATATTGCATTGCAGGTTTTTCTACTTCCTCTTTCCGCCATATTGCAGAACCGGTAAGATGCTTTTTACACTGTCGCCTTCAATCTTTTAAGTATCTAAAGCATCTGAGTGTTAAATGTTCCATTTATGTGATCATCCTGAAGCGAAGGTACATACTAATCATTTGGGATGATTATCGTATCGATTGGTGGAAGTAGTAAAACATATTTGGGCTACAACGTTGATCTCCCAGTCCCTCTGTCCGGCCCTGGGCATCGGTGCGTTCACTGCGCCGTGAGCAGTGTTAGCTCTGCGGACACTTTATGTCTTTATACTTCACACACTTTGGACCTGCAGGCTCTCCGTTGACCTCGGTGTGTAAAAGATTTAAAAGCGGTGGACAATGGGTTGACTATTGTTTCTGTCAATGTTAACAGAGGCTTTGCTAATATAGTCGGATATGCTAGTTAGCTATCGAGCTATCCTCTGTTCATGAAGGACCATGCTTTGGAGGAGTCTGCGTTTAATGTGTCCGCTGTAACTCGGTGTAACTCAGTGTAAAGCAGCGTTACTTGCTGCGAGTGAAATCGGCTGTTAACAGAAAAATAATGACATGTAGTTGACAAATGTTGGACTAATTGCTAATACCACAACGCGTCGTGACTCAATTAAGGTTAGCCAGGTGGACACTGTGCTTAATGTTCTGTACCTTCATTTCATTGTCTAGTTAATAGAAACTGTTTACTTTTGTGTCCAGAGTTTGATCCTCTTAGAAAATAGTCTTTCCAGACTTGACTTGAGTTGAATGAGGGACATTATTTGGTGATGTGAAAACACAGACTGTCTTCTGTCCATCGTCCGTACAGCACTGACTGTAACTCACTAGTTGGGGCCGCTGGATAAAAAGTCCCAGAGTGGGATGTGATATTAGGCACCGCTTGGTTGATTTTACTTCAGTCTTGCATGTCTACAGCTAATATTCTTTTTGTGTGTGTCTGCAGGCATCATGGTGCGCATGAACGTTCTCGCAGATGCTCTGAAAAGCATCAACAATGCTGAGAAGCGTGGGAAACGCCAGGTCCTCATCAGGCCCTGCTCCAAGGTTATTGTGCGCTTCCTAACCGTCATGATGAAGCACGGTGAGTAGCTACTGTCCTCTGGTTGCAGTGAGTGTTGAACAGGTATCCTGAAACGTTGGGTCCAGTTGGTACACGCGCTGTTGTAGAGCCACTGAAAGGGGAATTAAGTGTGTAATTGGTAGAAATACAGCCAGCAGAGGCTGTCTGAGGAGTGGTGATGGTTGTTGAACTTGGTGTCTCAGTTGCATCAAATTTCATCTCTCATCAGGTCAAAAAGTTGATAGTTTGAAGTGAGTGTCTTTCTTAATGAAGTTGCTCTTTGTTTTGTATCTTCCAGGTTACATTGGTGAGTTTGAGATCATTGACGACCACAGAGCCGGCAAAATTGTCGTCAATCTCACAGGCAGGCTGAACAAGGTAAAGTCTATTAGTTCTACACGTAACGCTGCTTGTGAGACAATTTCAGATAGATGCTTGCTATACGTTTGAGATAGTTGTGTTGGCATTAGGGATGATACGGATCATACTAAAAACTCCCTCTCTGGTCCTTCCAATGCTTCCTGACGTAATTGTTTTCTAATCTCCTGCTTTTATTTAACTGGTTATTTTAAAAAGCGGGGGGGCCTCTGGTCTCATTTTCCACATGACAACATGAAAGCTTTGAATCTAACTTGCCTTCTTTTGTTCATAAAGTGGGAAATCTAACAGCCTTCTAACTGAGCCGAGGGGAACACAAAAGCTTACACAGTTGGAGCGTCGCACAATGTGCAACCTGCAGCTTTTTGTTCCAGCTTGCTGTCTTATGTGTGAATACGGAGTTCAAACCTGTGTTTTTATCTTTTCAGTGTGGTGTGATCAGTCCACGTTTTGATCTCCAGCTCAAGGACCTGGAGAAGTGGCAGAACAACCTGCTGCCTTCAAGACAGTTCGGGTGAGAGTCAGATACTAACTTTCAGAGTGATGAAGTGCTGAACCAACTGCAAGGAGAGTTTAGACTATTTAGTCGTAATGGTCTCCAGTCTTGCTCGGTTAGTCACTGCAGTGGCTTGCCTGCTGTGATGTCTTGCCTATGCTTGGTTGTC